CTCCTCCTCCTCCTCCAGTGCCGCCGCGGGGATGCTCTGCTGGGAGCTCGGCCGCAGCTCCCGGCTCCGGCAGCATGAAGAAACACCATCCCCACTCGGTGCAGGGCACTTTTAGCCGCCTCTTCGGCAAGAGACACTCCAACCCCACCGCCACATCCCTCTTCGCCACCAACCCGCCCTGGATCTTCACGCAGGAGGTGACTTCGGACAGCGCGGGTGGCACCGGTTAGTGTTCCCAATGCGCATCCTTCCTACCCCAGGGGTAGTTCTGCTCGTGGCTGGAGATGGGAATGGGGTTTTTCCCGGTGGGAAAGGATGTGGAATGATGAGTCTCATCCTCCACGCGTTGGGAAGCTCCAGGAGTCTCTCGGTGGGGTTGGGATATACCCCCCGAACTGAGCCCCGACGGGTTCACAGCAGAGCCAAGAGAGCTCGGAGGGTTCACCCCGACTCATTAGGGTCACTGCATTGCTCTCCGGGTAGTTAAACTGGCCTGAAACAATCTGTTAATTAGTTGCGAATCTCTTTTCTTTTGCTTCCTGTCGCATTTTCCCACGCCGCGTCTGCTCTGTGATTTCCCAGGTTTTAGTTATTTGCTCATAAACCTGTTTCTTGCAGGGCTGTGAGCGAAGGGGGAACTGAGGGTTGCATGTTCCTCGGGTTTTATTTGTATTTCTTTGTGGTTTAATTGCAATGTGGTGCCCTAGAGGCTCATGTAGGAGGGAGCTGAATTAATAGCAGTGGAGCCAAAGAGATAGAAGATGGTAGTTTGTGGATGAAGTTTGGTGGCTGTGAAAGTCCAACAAACTCTTCCAAGATCAAAAAAAAAAAAAAATACATGGAAGTGCTGCCTGCTGAGCTGTGCAGGGTGAAGTATTGTCTGTGAAAGCAGCTGCAAGGTGGTTACACCCCAAAGGCCAAGCTGCTGAAACCAAGATAAAATGAAAGTGTGACAGACAGTTTCGTGCAACCTCTGCAAGGCAGGAGGAAAATTGCTGATTTCTAACTGTTGTAAATCTGAGAAGGATTCAAGCCTCTCTCTGATGTGGTTTGGATTTAAAAAGAAAAAAAAAAAAAAGTTGTTGTTGTGTCTGCTTATTACAAGCCTGATTTCCATGGCTGTGATTCTGCAATGGCAGGACAAAAGCATTCTGTTCAGGTGTGGGTCAGATAGCAAAGGGAAAAAAACCAAGAGTCCTGAAATTTGAGGCTAAATAGCAGCTGTTGAATCTCTCCTTAGCATCCTCTTGGTGTTTCTGTCACTAATTTGGTCTGTGAGGGTTGTGAGACACACCAAAGTGACCACGTTGGGAGTAGCATGTGCCACTGTGTGGGTTGGTGTGAGGAGTGCTGTGCTCACAGCTCAGCAGTCCAAGGGGCAGGTTTTATTGTCCCTGGAATTCCACAGCTCTACAGTCCTACCCAGGGAAGCCCCATCCCTTGCCCTGTCTCTGGAATATTTACTGCATAGCTTCATGCTGCTGCCAAAAAGAGTCCACTGCTCCTGCTAATCCCCACCTTAGTTTCTCATACAAAGTAAACACAAGTTAAGCAATGTGGAATGGGTGTAGGTTTGCATGTCCCTGACTCAGAGATTCCTGAATATAGTGACTGATGCCACCTCCTCCTCCTCCTCCTCGCTGGGAGCTGTGGATACCCCAACGTCAAACCTGCTGCACCTACTCCAGGTGATGCAACCTCCAAGGAGGAAGAAGTTCCATTACATGTGCTGCAGGTTGTTTATTTAATTTCCCATGCTTGAGTGGACACAAATGGCTCCAGGACAGGCTGAATGTCAAAAAGTGGCCAAAGCAGGGCCAGTTATTTGAGCCAGCCACTTCCGACAGCCTCCGAGGGTGAGTTTCCTGGTGCCTCCTTCCAGGAAACAAAGCTGGCAGAGTCCTGGTCCTACTGGTGACAGGCTCTCAGCAGGCAAGTCCTGTTTATCTAGCAAAGAAAACACAACTACAAGCAGTTCATTTTACTTTAATTAAAGCATTCAGGTTAGCGATGCTTAGTAATCTAGGATCAAAGTCCTTGTGATCTTTAATCCAGTTTCTCACTAAGTTTACCTAGTGACTTGTTTAATATAAAACTCTCATCATTTCAAGTCTCTGAACTGCTCTATCACTGCTCCACAAAGCTGTCTGAGTCTAAGCTCTCATGTTGCATTGGCCTCAATTCTTGCTGCTGCTCACTGAATGTGGGGTCACCCACAAAATTAATCATCACAGAATCATAGAATGGGTTGGGTTGGAAAGACCTTAAATATCATCTCATTCCACCCTCTGCCATGGGCAGGGACACCTTCCACTAGCCCAGGTTGCTCCAAGCCCCATCCAACCTGGCCTGGAACACTTCCAGGCAATTTGCTGGCACCTCTGCCCTCCTTGGAACTCCAGCAGCTCATCCTGTGTGTCTGGGCCCCTCCCAGGCATGGATGGAAGTGTCTACCTCTTGGTAGGACCACACTGACAGAAGTTCAGGCTGATTAGTGTTTTGAAAGCTGAGGAAAATGTCCTTTTTGTAAAGAATCCAAAAGATATTGTGAGAAGTTTGGGGAAAGGGAGAGGAAGTTCTGGTTGACTCTAGGACAGTGATAGCACAATGGATACTCCTGGTGTATCTCAGGGTAACTTGTGGTGTAGTGGGTGGGAGAAAGGAAAAGCTTGAGTGCCTGCTGGACTCAGTGGCGTGTTCCAAGGTTGTGTGGAATTCATCTGCCTCCAAACCCTTCAGCAGAGGCTGTGCTAGCTCATGCCCAGCCCCTGGTGTGGTCAGGTTCTTCATTCCAGCTGCTCAAGCAAGTGCTTTCCTTCTGTGGGGTATACACAGAAGCATTTGCCCTCCTCTTTTTTTTTTTTCTCTTTCACAAAACTCAGTGTAAAGCTGTTTCCTTAGGTGCTTCTTCTTGATCTCTGCCCATCAAGTAGTGCAGGGACTCAGTGACAACCACAGCTATGTGCCAGGGCAGTGAGTGATGGGTTGGGCATCGCAGTCCTGGGGTCTGACAGTGTATGGTGGGCACAGGGTGTGCTTTGGGCCAGTGATGGGCTGTGAGGGAGCAGAAATACTGTCTGGGGCTGTGAGGACACTTTCTGGGGCTCTGGGACACTGCAGCTCCTCAGGCAGGTGGTTCTGCTTCACCAAGTGCTGCCTTTGGGTTTGGGAGGCTTGGAAATGCAGCCCAGAGTTTATACAACCTTCACCTTTCTGCTCCTCAGCTTGAATTGCTTTACAATACTTGACAGAAACCTCACACTCGGGCAGGGGATCAGCTTTGAGGATTCTCCTCCCAGACTTTTTAGGGGAGCAAAAAAGAAAGCTATTTACTACTTGTTGCCTGCGTTTTGGGGTAGAGGGAAAGGTTGGTTACTTCTTCCTTCCCCCTGAAACCACTATCAATCTGTTGGGTGGGAAGAGTCCTGCAGAGTTTTCTCTCTGTTCACAGCCATTTTGTTGCCTTCCCTCTCCTTCCTCAAACTCTTGTATTTTCTTTAATGTCGGTCTCCTTGGCTACGAGTTATTTGTGTATCTCCTTCCAGCCAAGGTGGGGTTTACATGCTTCACTCTTTCTGCTTGTTAATTCATGCTGTTAATCAGACACAAAGAATGTAATTAAATTAATTTTATGAGCTTTATTCACTGTCAGAAATCAACTGGCCCAAAAGGTGTGGTTCAAGGTGAAAGCACAGGGCTGGGAACCAGGAATTCCCAATGACTTTTCCTGCTAGGAACAGCAGGGCTCTGTGACTTTCTGCTGTGGTGTCTCCATCCATGGCAGTATTTTGTGGGAAGTCATCCAGAGCATTTTTCCATGAGGCAGGCTGGAGCGTGGAGGTGTGGGGTGACAAGCATGATCTGTCCCTCAGTTGCATCAGGATCACAAATTGCTCTGGCAGATCCATAGGGATGGTGGTGGTTGTCTCTAGCAGGGAAAGTCACTGTGGCATTTCCCTCCTGCTGCTCTCAGCCCATGGAAATGATACATGAAGGGGCAAAACTTCCTTGGGAAGCTCCTGTATGTCCCATTCCCATTGCTGTGTCCAAGTGAAGCAATGAGGTGTTCCATTCTGCTCATCCTGTCCTGCTCATCACATCCCAGGGGGAGTCAGGGCTTGGGGACACCTCTGCTGTTATTCTCTGCTGTCTAAGTGTCAGGACTTAGTGAACACCTGTAATTAACTCTGTGCTGGGCTACAAGTGCTCTGCCTATGGAGCAGATGGCAGGTGAGGAAGGGCAGGAGTTCTCCCTCCACCTGGTCAGCTCTGCTGCTGCTTCCCCACTCAATTCCAGAGCAACCAAGATCAGATCCTACCCCTGCTTACAGTCTGGTTTGTGTCACCTCTGCCACACCAGCCCTGGACTCACTCTGCTCTCCTAGGGACTGGATCCTCACAGCTCTGTAAAGACATGATCCAGTTGCTCCTGGAACATTTTCCTTCCCTAAATATCATCTGGGAGGGGAGTGACTTGAGTGCTTGTGCTAACTTTGGACCCTCCTGGGGTGAATTGACATTAGCTGCTACTAGAATTTAGCCTTTCAGAATAGATTTTGATATCTGTGCTTGTTTAATTCCATCATGTGGAGCTCTGGGAAGGCTCTTTGTGCCCTGCAGGTGTGTGACAGAGTTGTCAGTGCCTGTCCTGCACACCTGGGACCTTTTTATCTTCAACTCAGCTCCAAACACTCAGAATCTGATGGGTTTTACCCATTCCTGGAAGCTGATGCAACCAATTCCTCCTGGAGCTTTGTAAAACTTTTTTAAAGTGGTGTCCAGTGTTGCTTTTCCTGTTGCCCCAACACAGTGCTGCTGCTGACAAGTCTTCCCTTCCCCTCAGGTGATGTGATTGAGGTGTATTATGGTGACAATCGTTTTGGGACAGTGACAGACTCTGGCACAGCAACACTTAAACCTCGGCCGAGGGTCCGACCGCTGCTGACTTTCCTACCCCTGGTGAGTACCTGTCTCTCTCCTGGGATTCATTGCAACAGTGTGTGTAACTGGTGCCCAGAACCAGCTGGGCTGGCTGCTGCTCTCATCCTCTAGCCAAGGGGAGAAAAGAAATGAGCAGCAAAACCACTCTGTAATAATGCTGGGTGAGAGGGATTAGGAGGTGATGTGAGTTCAGGGCTGGTGTTGGACACAGACAAGGCACTCGGGGAGAGGCATAAGCAGCATCAGACTTGCATTTTCAATTAAAAAGAAATTGCTGAGCACGGAGATGATAGATCAGGCTGGCACTGCATTTATCTCACCACTGCTGGCAGTGTTTCTCCCTGGATCAGGCATCTTGCTGGAGACAGCAATAGCAGAGCTGTGTCCTGTTGCAGCAGAGGAAAGGGGAGGTGATGCTGCAGGTGTGCAGAGGATGATTTTTTTGATCTCTGGGGAAAAAAACCCAACATTCCCTACAGAGCTATCAGTATCTCAGCAGCAGCTGAATGCAGGGACTGGAGCAGCAAGGGCCAACACAGCTGGTCCAGAGAGCCTGGAGGTGGCTTTAACTCCAGAAGCCACACATGCTGTGGCTGATTTCAGGGTTCTGCTCTCATGTGTGCTGAGCAAGCTTTCCTCCCCCATGTAGCACACATTTCCAGAGGTCTTACTCCCTAAAAAGTGCAGTGAGGCACAGGATTCATAGAATAGTTTGGGTTGGAAGGGACCTTAAAGCTCATCTCATTCCACCCCTTGCCATGGGCAGGGACACCTTCCACTTAGACCAGGTTGCTCACATAGATTCTGGAGGTGGCAATAGCTAAATCTGAAGTGATACATGCAGGGCACCAGGTCAGTGAAGATAGTATAATGCTTAAAAGACTTTGGTCTTCACAAGGAGATCCTCTCTGAGAGCTGGGAATGGTTTTCCTTTTGCATCCTTGTCCTTTAGCACAGATATCACCTCGAGTGGAAAACAGGCTGCTTTGCTGGCACCTGGGTTAGGTGTTATGGTGTTGTACTGGTGTCATTTGAAGGACAACATGGGGGGAGTTTATTTATCTATTTGTAAGCATAATCAGGAAGTTATGGGGTTATACACATCCTACAAAGGGGTTGTACCCTCTGTGATCCCTCCCAAAAAGATCACAGCAGGTGAAAAACCTCATCTGGGACAAGTAACTAGGGCTGGTGCTTGAGAAACTCCTTTTCAGCAGCACAGGTTTGGGGGTGTGACCCATTTCACCAGGTTTTTAGGGTGCTTTTTGCACCTTCATAGAGCTTTCAAATGGTTTGCTAGTGGAAGTGTGTGTGGTAAAGGAATTAAGAGCAGGAATCCCTCTGGGATGAATCCTAAGGGCTGTCACCCAAGCCACAGTGCTCTCCTGCTGCCCACAGAGGCACAGCTGACCCTGGGGCTCTTTTTCCCTTCAGAGGGTCCCTCACAACCCTGAGCTTCTCTTCTGACAGTAACAGGTCTAACTGAAGAAATTAGTGGCAATAAGCAGCATTTTAAGGACCAGTCTGTGTCGGATATTTTGCATTATTCTGATGAGGTTTGATGGTGATTTGATCTGGCACAGACGCTTCTGCTGCCACGTACATACCTGCTCTGGGCTGTTCTGCAGCTCCTGCCTTAACCCTTTCCTTCCACCACCCACTTTGCTATGCAAGGGGAGGCTGAGGAGCAGCTCAGCAGTGAGTCAGGAGGATGCACACACCCTGCCCGGCAGCTCCATGTGCACCTGGCAGCTCTTCCCACATGGAGCAGCTTCCTTCCCTCTGGATCTGGCCCTTGGCTGTCCCATGCTGAATCACAGCAGGGATTGCAGGAGAAGGGGCTTTGCTGCCTGCCTTAGGGTACCACCACATCCCCCTGCTCACCTGGCATCCCTGGCACTGCCAGGTGCAGGCGGAGTTTTGGCATCTTGGAATTAATTCCTTTAGCTAACCACCAAACTTCCATAGCTCAAAACCAAGGAGTTTTGGGGTAGCTCTTCATATTTGGCCTCTGAGACCCCAGGATGCTCAGTGGATGTGTTTTGGAGTGTTTTTGGAACAGGCAGCCTCAAATCTTGTTCATTTAATGGGTGAGAAGAGTGGGATCCTGAGAGATTGGGAGCTGAGGACCATTAGGACAGGCAGAGTCCCTTCACTGGGGACAGTGGACATCAAACTTCGTTCCAAGAATGAAAAGTGATTCCTGGTGGTTACAGTGAAAGCTTCCCCCCCCCATGGGATCCTCAGCATGCAGAACTGTGATTCAGGTACCACAAACTGGAAATGCAGGTTCCTGGCACAGCACCCTGAGCCTGCTCTGAATCAGCTGGAGGTTTGCTGGGCTGGTCACACCCCGAGCAAACACAGGGAACAATCTTTCCAGTCATCTCTGGAGACTGGCAGCGAGCTGGAGATGCTTTCCATGTTAGAAGCCAGCTCATGACGTGGGGATGGGTGGTTTTCCAGAGAGATGCTGAGCATTAGCATCTGCAGCAGAAGTTTTTTGGTGTGAAGCAGGCTTGCCTGGTTTTTAGGACCTGTTGAAATGCCATGTCCAAAATTACCACTCATTTAGGAAACGCAGACTGTTTCCTCCAGCTTTGCATAGCTCTCTCCCAACTGCCATTCCCTTTCTACTCCTCTCCAAACATGTGATGCATATGCTGCTTTTAATTTGGTGTTCAGACATCTTTGTTTCCCTGTAAATGAGCAGGTATCCTCTGTGTGCTCTGCAGACTGGCAGCACTGCATTTCCATAGCAAATGGGAGCTGCTGGTGTGTTTTTGCATTGTGGTTTTTGGTATCTCATTGCTCTGGACAATTTAATTATCAGCTCTTGAAGTGCCTCTGTTGGCCTTTGCCTTCCCTCTGGCTTTCAGCTGAAGTTAAAGATCTTTTCCTCTGCCTTCTCCTGTATCTTTGGGACCAGTAAAGAGGTCACAGATGATACATTTTGCCACCAATAAGTCTGTCCTGATGCCTTAGCACACCTTGGCTTCTCCATCAGCACAGGGTTGTCTGATCCATTGTGCAATCCCAGAAATGTGAATTCCCATTCACTCTCTCCTGGCTCACCACTAAGTGGTTTGTTTCCTTGTGGTTATAGAGGATGTTTGGTCATCTGCAGGGTGATGGATGTGGCAAGTAAAAGAAGTGTGTTTTGCTCTTATTTTGTCCAAATCTGGGGCATTCCAAGGCTTTTCTGCAGCATCCCAGGCTGCTGCAGTTAATTCAGCAGCTCCTGAGCTCTCTACACCTTACTGTGCTGTCTGAGCCTGGATGAATAAACCCAACTTGACCTTTGGTCAAGGAGACTTTGGAATCTCATAGTAATCTGATGTCAGAACGGTGATAATGGCAGCAAAGGGCAAAGGGGCTCAATCATTATCCAGGGTTTTGTGTGCAGGAAACCACTGCAGGGAGAGGTGCAGGCTGATGGTAGGATAAAGTTTCCTTTGTCAGGAGCTGCTAACAGTGCAAACAGCTGACTGGGGTGAGTAGGAATGTGACAGGGTGGACCTAGAGTCTGGGAGTGGGACAGTATGTCCCTGACCACTGCCCGTGGGGTCTGTGAGCTGCTTCTGCTCACACTGTGTCTTTGCATAAAGTCATGGATCTCCTAAGTTGGAAGGGAACCACAGTGATCATCAAAGTCCAACTCCTGGCCCTTCACAGGACAA